TTTAATATGATTTTCTTCAACTTACCTTGTAGAGAGGAGCACAAAGACAGTGGAACAAGCATGTGAGAAGGAAGAATCGACTCGATCGATATAAGATGTGGAATGGCAGGAATAGGATGATAAATAGACACTGCAACATGTCAAAACGATGAGTTAATACGTTGTCGTCGGAAAATGAACGGGATCAATATGACAATATATATTGATTATATGATATATTCAATAGATGATCTTACCACAACCAACATCAGAGGAAGAAGTTCAGTGAATGCTTTATAGTCTTTTGTTTTGGGATCCATCTCCATGTCAAGGTTGCAGAGCACACTAGCTAATGCAAATGCTCCAAGACCAAAACTCAGAAGAAGAACTTGTCGATAACCCAATCCGGTTCCCGTCTTGAAACCGAATATGAAGGCGTAGTTGACTAGGTACTTCCTCCAGTAGTATATATTGATAGCATACATTAACATGTGTAGAACAATGAACCCGAACAAACTGCCAAGGGAAAGAGGGTTGTCTGTTATCACGACATTGCTACTTGGATCATATCTATGTTTGAATTGTCAAGTTCTAAGCACTGGTAAACTTGAAGAAGAACGAAATAGAAGTACCTATAAAGAGGAAACATGGTTTCCATGTATTTGTTCTTTCCTTCACTATCCATAAGGTTACGGGCACGTATGATCAGAATAAGGGCTAGAACAAGAGAAGCTGAACAGCCAGCGAAAAAACCAGTTGAAAAGGTTGTTCTATGCCTTTCTCGTTTTGCTTTGGGTCTTAAAATGCTCATTCCCTTGGAACGATTTGCATTTGAAAAGTGCTTGATGAATGTTGCTTCAACCCTCTCCATGAGCCTTGTGATCTGCAACGAAAAGCTTGTAGATTAGGCCACTGGTAAATTAAGGCATTAAAACAGAGTAATTTTGAATTACTAAAGAAACTCTACCTCATCAGAGTTACCAAGGTAGGAGTTATCCACCATCTTCATGTAAGGTTTTGACGCATTTCTGGAAGTGATCTTATCATACTTCTTCATAATTTTGGAGAACGCCAACGTATTCAGAAAGCTGTAACTTTTAAGAAGACGAAGCTTATGGTAAAATTCAACAAAAGCACGCTTAAGTTGTTGTTCAACTTTTCTTAGATTTCCCCTACTGAAACTCAACTCGGCATTCTTTTCAACCTTGAGGACACCTTTAATGGTGGAACGAGGAGTCTCGAGGTGATTGTTCATTTTCACCCGCTCAAGTATTTCAAGTGGAGCGGGTCGGATGACCTTGACTTCGGGTATCGCCGATTTGGGTTCTTCGACCGGACTATTTCTCTCTTTCTCATCACCATTTTCGTCATCATTGGCTTGACCATGGATGCTTTCTTCAATGGCTTCCAAGTGAGGTGCCCTTTCTGCATATCAGAGCCAATCAATCGACTGATAAACAACAAAAAGTTATACTAGAAGAGAAACTTACTGCTCGCTGATTTTGCACCGGACGGAGTAGAAGCCGAGAGTGCAGCAGCAGAAGCGGCGATATCCGAAGCGAGACGAGTCATCTCCACCGACCTGTCGAAATGAATCCCGGGAGGATTCTCAACTTTAACCCTGAAAGCAATCAAAGCATCCATTTGCTTGTTCAAAACATCGGCTTCTTTCATCACCTCCTGCATTTTAGCCCTATAAAACTTGTCCACTTTATTGAACTCGTCATCAAGCCTTCTAAAGTACACCAGCTCATACTCTCCTCCTTCCTCCGTCGACATCTGAAACGTAGTCACATAACTTCTCGACCCGTTCCGGTCGACGGAATTCACCAAAATGGGATGACTCTCAATATCGTCCGGTGACAATGGACTCGTCGGGTGATGGTGGTGGTGCCTTTGTGTTAAGCCACTGAAAGCTCTATACAGTGTTAGCTTCCGTTTTAGCCCGGGAGCAGCCGGTGGCTTGTTCCGCTGTTTGAAACGATGTAGTTCTTTCAAAAGGGTCTTCAAGTAAACGTAATCCATATAAGCATCTTGCCATTCCGGCACCATCTGAGACGCGAATTCCTTCCCGAACTTCATCTTTTCCCGTCAAAAATGCCGCAAGTTCAGATGAAGCAATGCTTAAATACTGTAACTAACCCCACACTCTGACTCAACACAGTTTTCACTAAATCACTGAACGAGTTGAGAAATTAAAAGAGCAAGTTAATAAGGAACACTTGGGTTAGGTAAACGTGAAATATATATATATAGTAGCAGTTCAGTTGAAGGGCGGAAGGAGAGACGAATACTCTTTTTGTATTATTTTTACTGTAAAGTTGCATAGTCCGCCAAGATAGACCGCCCCACCTTTGAATAATGTGTCTCTTCAGCGTTAATTTTTCTTTAGTATTTGGTGACCCATACATAAGAAGTTTGTGATCAATTTGAACTCTACTTAATTAAAATTCTATAAAAAATTAATCTATGTTGATTCAACTTGAATTTGAGTTTAACTCGGGATTTTAACGAGTTGAATAAAAAAAATTCAATTTAATTTGATAAATTAGTTCAAATATCATGTAATAATGTTGCAAATAGTTTGACTAAATGAGTCGTTTAGTCTTTGACGTCTTTGTATTTTGATTCATTTTGTTCCAAGATTAATTTTACAGAAGTTGCGAACGAAGTAATATTTATTCGATCTATATAGTTTGTGGTACTCTTTTCTCTTCGTAGATTCAATACTTTAATATTGGATAGGAAGAGTTTTTAATGATATCCTTTAAGTTAAAAATAATAATTAATGTGTTTAATCCCTGGGTTCATTAGACAAGAAGTCACGCGTTCATGTACGTTGCTTGTGTTTCGTTATTCATCAAACAAAACGAGGTATTATAAATTGATATCGGTTAAATTACGATATTAATCACTTTAGTTTATAACTATCGGTATTCATCTATTGATCGACTAATTAGAATCGGAATCAATTTTATATACTATATATGTTTTGAGGTTTAAATTATTATTACATTATATTCTTTTTTATAACCATCGGTATTCATCTATTGATCGACTAATTTGAATCGGGTACTGTAGATGCAAGGACGACCCTCCCAACCTACTTTGCTCTATTCGGAATCGTCAGAATTCGAACCCTTGACCTTGCTTAAGAGATTTAGTGTTTCATCTCACTAAATCAACTGTTTGTTGGTATTATTATATTATGTTTTATCATATGCCCATTTCACTTTTTTGAAATAGGCGCAATTAATTTTATTAATAAATAGAAAATATCTAAAATTATAATAAAAATCTACGACAAAAATCATAAATTAGATACATAATTGAGATATTCTCTTAAAATCGTTAACAAATTAGCCAGTCAAAATCATATCATGACCATATGAGGAAAAGATAAAAATCTCATCCAGAAAAACTCGAACAACGGGTAGATACGAACAGATCTGACTGCTACGACATACGAACCACAATATGCTATTTAAAATTACTTAAAGACCACCGACAAAACACAAATCAAAGCCAAGCATCATGAGATAATTATCTATGATCGCAGGTTGTGTATCCAAATCCAATTCGATGATCCAAATCAAGGAAGATAATCGGGATAACAAATGAACACCACCTTGACCATTTGTGACGACGTCAAATCCAATCCAGAGAGAAAAATAAACTACAAACAATTGAAAAGAAAATAAAAACGTGCCAAAAGACAGAGGAAAAACGTTTTATGAAAGCATATAAAATCCAGACAGAGTTATTAAAAATAAAGAAAAAAATAAAGATGTAAGATAAAAAGAAAATACCAACCACAACAACCAGCATTAAGGTATATTTTATCTTTAATTACATAATTAACTTGATAACTACATTTCACGTGAAGAACACAAAATTATTTATTAGAACTTTTATACATTACATGAATTAATTATATAGTAATAGAATGAGAATTTAACACATGTTTAGTGGAATAGAAGATTAAGCAAAATTTAAATTCAGTCTTCGATTTTGAAAATACGGATCCATCAAACCGAAGCATCATTGTACTTGCACTAAATTAATCAAAAAAATAATTATTGTTATTTCACGAGGTCATGAGTTCGAGCATCAAGAATGTCAGAGGTGTGAGCATTCAATATCAAATGGTCAAGAATTATCTTCGAACATATATCATCTTGTACTTACACTAGATTAATCGAAAAAATAATTTACTTTTTGAGATATATATTAAAATTGTACAAAAATTTGGTCAAATATTTAATGTTATACATGAATTTTAATTTTATAAAATCTTATTCATAAAATTTTAATTTAGGGTAAAAATATCATTATTTTTAAGTGTTAATCGTTTGTTGATCAATGTTTTACATTCACAAAGAGATTATTCTCTTAAAATGAAACATTAGGGTAAAATAGGAGTACCAAGTCTAACATTAATCCATTATTCTTAGAATATGAATTAAAATTACTATTTATTTAACAAAGTGGGAACTAATACATATATTCAAACGCACTGCAGGTAGGGTTGAGCAATGAAATCGAGAAAATAAAAAAATTAATACGAATTGAGTAAAACGGTTCAGTTCGGTTTGGTATTATGCGGTTCGGTTTAAAGGTTTCATTTTTTTGATTCGGTTCGGTTTGGGTTTTCATATAGAATCCAGTTGTTCCATATTGAACCGAATAGACAATTTTTTAAAAAAAATTATAATTTCAAGTGATTTTTTCATTAAAAAACTGATAAACTGAACCGTTAAAAAAACCGAACCGAACCGAAAAAATCGATTTCGGTTTTTTAACCATTCGATTTCGATTTCGGTTTAAATATTAAAAAACTGTTTATTTCGATTCGTTTAATTTTTGATAAAAAACTGAACCGAATTAAACCGAATACACTCCTAACTGCAAGTGCTTTAGAATCCAATTGACATTAACTAACAAAATTGATCGAAACAATATCTTCTCCTCTTATCCGAAACAACAAGCTATAAAGTTCCCCCGCCACATCTTATCTCAGCCACACGACACAAATGGCAGCAACACTTTTCAATCTCTCATCACCTTCTTCGCCTTCTACTTTCCTCCATTCTTCAACAACTCTCAAACCCTTTTCTTCTTCCTCCACTAAACCAACACTTCCAATCCACTTCAAAAAGAAACCCATCTCTGTTTCAGCCACCTCTCTCCACTCACCACCCCCAACCGGTGACCCTCCACCGGAGGTCCGGACCTTCTGGCAATGGTTCCAGGACCAGCGTGTAGTCTCTGCCAAGTCTCCTGTCAGACCCGGAATGGTCCCTGAAGGACTTGGACTCGTTGCGAAAAAGGACATTTCCAGGAGCGAGGTTGTCCTGGAAATTCCTAACCGGTTTTGGATTAACCAGGATGCAGTTGCTGCTTCTGAGATTGCAAGTGTGTGTAGTGGATTGAAGCCTTGGGTGGCTGTTGCTCTGTTCTTGATCAGGGAGAAGTTGAGGGAAGATTCTCAATGGAAACTTTATCTCGATATACTTCCAGAGTCAACAGATTCCACTGTGTTTTGGTGGGTGTGGCTTGGTTTCGTTTCTTTTTTTCTTTTTTTTTCTTTTCTAAATCTGCAGCCTTGGTTATAATTCTATGTTTTTAGTTGGATTTAGATCTTTGGGGTTGATAAAGTGTTGCTTTAATGGTTCCAGTGCAGGTCAGAAGAGGAGCTAGCTGAGCTTCAAGGTTAGCTTTTCATAGTCTCGCGTGTAACTGTTAAGAAACTTGTGTGTCATGTTTGTTAAGCAAAATTGGAATCAGAGAAACAGAGTTTTCGGTTGATTTGAAGAAGATTTTCATGGTCTCAGATGTTCTATAAATGTGTGTGTGTGTATATATATATATATATATATATATAACCTGAAGATTTTCTTGTTTCAGTTTTCATAGTTCATACTATATTCCAATGAGCAGTGTTGGGTTCAATGGCACAGGAACTCAACTGTTGAGCACAACAATGGGGGTGAAAGAATATGTCCGGAATGAATTCTTAAATGTAGAAGAAGAAATAATACTCCCCAATAAGCAGCTATTTCCCTCCCCTATAACATTGGATGACTTCTTCTGGGCATTTGGTATTCTCAGATCAAGGGCATTTTCCCGTCTTCATGGTCAAAATCTTGTTTTGATACCTCTTGCAGACTTGGTAAGCCTCCATCATTCTCCAAATTATGTTGCAGATAAAAAAACACAGAATAAATACGGAACCACGGTCGAATTCTCGTATAAAACATTTTACAGACAATAGTAAATAGTCAGAAATAAAACAAGTTACATACATGCAAGCATGGGGCTATGTTTACTTTTACTATGGGAGATCAGTCCTGGAACATGTTCCCAGTAACTAACATGATATTGGCACACTCTTAACTTATTTATATTGTCTTTAGCTGCCTTTAGTTTCATGTTTTAACTTTTCTTCAAATCTTGTTTATTAATTGATCAGATCAATCATAGCCCTAGCATAACTACAGAAGATTATGCATGGGAGATTAAAGGAGCTGGACTTTTCTCTAGGGATCTTCTGTTTTCTTTGCGTTCTCCTGTTTCTGTCAAGGCTGGACAGCAGGTGAGTTTTTCCAATTTTATCTGACAAGGCTCTTCATTATTGGAACATGCATATTTCCATTAATACAAAGGGATTATGATAATATGAAATATGTTCAATTGCATGGACTGATTGAGAAGAAAATTCAACAGGTTTTGATTCAATATGATCTAGACAAGAGTAATGCTGAGTTAGCACTTGATTATGGATTCATAGAATCCAGATCTGATCGCAATGCTTACACCTTCACGTTGGAGATATCGGAGTCAGACCCATTTTTCGGAGACAAACTCGACATTGCCGAGACGAATGGTTTGGGAGAGACTGCCTATTTTGACATTGTTTTGGGTCGTCCTCTTCCACCGGCACTGATTCCATATCTACGACTGGTGGCACTTGGGGGAACTGATGCTTTCCTGTTGGAATCTATTTTTAGAAACACAATTTGGGGCCACCTCGATTTACCTGTAAGTCGTGCCAATGAAGAGCTCATATGTCGGGTAGTACGCGACGCCTGCAAATCTGCTCTGTCTGGCTATCATACAACCATTGAAGAGGTAACAATTTATCTTTACTAAATCTGCAAATCCGCTCTGTCTCGAAGGGCGTGTCATACTGAATTCTAGTTAATTGCAGGATGAAAAGCTGATGGAAGAGGGAAATCTTGATCAGAGGCAGAAAATTGCAGTAGGAGTAAGAGCAGGGGAAAAGAAGGTGCTGCAGCAAATTGACGAGATCTTTAAGGGAAGGGAATCAGAATTGGATTTGTTGGAATATTACCAAGAAAGAAGGCTCAAAGATCTTGGTCTTGTTGGAGAGCAAGGTGAACTCATCTTCTGGGAGACCAACTAGGACATGTCAAGGTCCATGGCAATTCTATCCAAATTTAGTTGGCATACCAGTTTAAACAATACCCTTCAATCTTGTCTGGTGTTGCTGTAGTATTTAATATTGAATTGCATAGACCCTATCTGGTGACCCGATTGGCTTATAAATTGTTAATGATTTCCTGGTTATGCAATCCCTATTGTGTAATAATTTGTGCTTGGTTTAGGTGTGAAATCAATTCTTCACAATGAGGCATTTGAGGGAATAGAGAGAAGGAAACTGTACAAATATTGGTTAATTCAACAGTTAAATTTTGTGACAGTACTGGATACAAATCAACAGGTAAGAGGGTGATAAAAAAACAAATAAATTTATAAGCAAAAGTGGAAAAATATTTTCCCTTTTTCTTTTTGTGCCCAGATGGGAGCTGGAGGATTTTCTGCTGCAGTTTCTTACAGAACTCTCCCTAGTACATTTATACACGGTCGTTTAGGGCATTTGTCCCAAACCTGACTGAATATCGTGCACAAAGTATAGAAAGAGTTGTGGAAACCATTTCGAGCGGAGTTTCAGAGCTGCTCACTCACAGTCATTGTAGCATTACTTGATTCACCAGGGGCTTCACACTTTGTTCCATCACAAAGGCACTCTTGAGGATTTGCATAGAAATAATGTTCCTCCTTTGGTTTGTCTGGAATAACTCGACGATGGAAGGGCTGTCCCATCCGTTTTTCATGCGTTTGCCTTACGATTAACGCAAAGTCATTCCATGGAAGTGTCCCATTCTGATGCAAATCCAGCAATTCAACAAGTTTCTTTCGATCTGGCAGGATACTCTTTTTGAACCCATGATACCTAAAGAAAAGCTTGTCAAGGCTATGAATATAATCCCCCACTGCCTCGTTAGATAATTCAGAAAAAATACATTACCTGCGATGACCTTCTACAACTTTGGCCATGTTCCCATCATATGTTGGAATGAAAGTATTGCTGGCAACTGATACCATAAAGTCCAATGCCGCCATCTGAGATGAATGGTTCTGAAATTGCTGCAGCTCTGATGGATCTAACAATGTTTCTTTTTTAACCTAAAATTGTAATAATGTCTTGAGATCTACAAGAATCATATGCAACACAACAACTACACTATAAAAGGGTGCCTGACTTAAGAGCCAAAAGTAGAGCTAATCCCACTAAATCGGTAAAATTGCACACCGGTCAAGATTTAAGGATTCAGCGACTCAATTGAGCACAGTGAAAATAACTCATGATAAATGAACTCTGATATGTGTGCATGCCTCATCACCATAGGAATAAAAAATGACTTTAATGACGAGTCGGGTTACCACAACAAATTCTTTGCAAAATTCTACCAAAAGCTTGGAGTTCCAATATCCAAAAAATGTTACTAAACATAGAATCCAGTGCTTTGATGTGCATTCAAGAAAACATATTAATACCGAAAGCTACATATTTAAGGGTCATAAACTTACAATGCGTGGAAATGCAGCTCTTAGTGGTGCTAGTCTCCGTTCACTGCCATAAATCTCACCCGAAGCAATATAAATCTGAGTTTCCTTATCAAAACCCAATGCTTGCAAAATTAATGTTGTTTCCTCGGGTGTCAGGGGGCAGAACCCTTGTTGTCTCCTCTCTTCAGATACTATCTCTTTCTCTCTCCACCAAGGGTATGCATACCTAAAAGGAAGGGGTAGCTATCTAATTACATTTTGTTTCGTTATTCTCAGATACTTGTTATTGATAACGATGCTATGATGAGATAATTAATATAACAAAGTTAAGACTTACTTTTTGTAATCACTAATTATAATATTTTATGTGAGCTGAACCAAGGCAGGGAGGGATACACCATGATCATATTTCTCAAAAACTAAATTTGGTCATTGATAACTACCAATAGTTGGAAGCATCTTAGCTTTACATTACACTTAAGAAAAATGCCAATATTAGAAGCAGCACATGGCTTTCCTATCTTGTTTGCATGTGGCACGCTAGGGGTAACTAGTGTGTGTCTCCTAAATAGTGGGAACATCGATCCTTGCTAAGATAATCAGTGTTTTGACAGGAATCTATCAGCTTCAAACATGACAAACCTCAGTCGTTTTAGCTCCTCGGCTTCTTCCACAGTGCAGCCATGTGTACAACCTGAGAAGGCCAACATGTCCATCTCATATCTCAGATGCAAAGCCACAAAGGGTCCTTTTTCCTGAAGAATGTGAACCAATTTGTTCCCCAATGTCTCAATCTGAGGAGTAAATTTCAGTCCTTGGAAATTAACACGGCATCTTAGTTTCTGAAGATCGAGTGGGATCCCATTATTTGCAAGTCGGGCGTCAGTTCTATTAAAGTGTACTACCTTATGCTTACTAAACAGGGGTAGAATCTGTAAAATAATGTCAAAGGCAATTGATTCTACTTCGTGAGAAAAACAAAGGAAAAAAAGACAGAATAGAATAGATAAACACACGACACAATCTTATCCATCCATCGAGAGAATTATTAGTTTCCTGTTGTTGGAAATGTAAACGATATGATTAAAATGAGCAACAACCTGTTCTAAATAGTATTTTTCATTTGACCAGCTAACCGGAGGCATCTCAAAAGCTTCAAACCCATATTTCCTACTAAATCTCTTTGGCAGCCTTCTGATAATGCGAACTTCATCCCTTAACGAATCAATAAAATGTCTGACATCGAAAATATCCTCAAAATCACTGCAAAAACAGATCACAAGTCAAAGGCATTTAAAGCAGCCGCGTAAGAAGGAAACGGCAATGTAATCTTTTCAGAATGATAAACACACCTAGGGTCTGCCCAGAATGATTTCTTATCAAGCTCCGGAACAACCAAAGTGAGATTTAAGAGTCTGGCAACAGTTACCATGTCACAGATCTAAAAATGCCAAACCGGATCAATAACGAACACAATACCAAAAGGAAGAAACAAAATAAACAAGAGCTAGAGAAAACGACGCAGACCGCCGCACGCATTTGATTCAAGCCCCCATTGCAAGAGACTTTAAGAAAACCGTTACTTGTATAGTTTCCTGCAAATATACAAAAGAATGTATGCATTACTTTTTCCAAGATCGAATGAAAAAGCAAAAACAGTTTTCCTTCAATAGAATCAATGGACTCATATATAAGGTATTCGATATCAGTGAACAAATCCTCAATTGCCGAATAAGAATAAGTTATGAAGGTTCTAAACTAGAACATTACACAGAAACAACTATTTCCCCACAAAGCAACCGTAAACATAAGTAACTCAAGAAGATGATCAATAACCCAGAAACTTAGTGAAATGTAAACTGAGATTGCTGCTTAAAAGCCTAAAGAAACTACAAATTTCCTCATACCAATTATTTCTCAAATTCAAGGAATTTCCCAGACAGCATCGAAATTTCTAGGAAATCTAAGCAAAAGAACGAAATGAGGAGTACTGAGGTAAACTCACTGGGAGGAGCTGAATGGGGAGGGGCATGGAGGGAGTGTTGAAAATCAGGAGGAGGACGCGTGATCCGCGAAACGCCGCCGGTAAAACGGGTAAGCAAACGGGGGTGCCATAGCTCGGCGACGGCGACGACGTGTACCAAACAAGTCCAGAGCAAAATGCTGGAACAAACTCTGAAAAACCAAACCCGGAGGCGAGTCCGATGAAGCGCTTGACTAGGAAACTTGTCGGACCTCACTTGTTGTATATTATTCTCAGATCTAACCTCCATTTCTCTTCCTCGCTCCTCATTGCCGCTTCTTCATTTGAACAAATATCTATCAATTCAAGAAATACGCGATTTCCCTTTCTTTCTAAAAAAAACCCTAGAAAGAGATCACGAGTCTAAATGGCTAAAACAAACAAATATCAAATTAATTTGACAAAAAAAAATGAATCTCACCAACCAAACATATAATAACTGGAAAAACTTTTTTTTTTGGCGGAGGAGGAAAAAGAAAAACTTTGAAAGTTACTCTTTTATCTTTTTCCCGTTTCTTGAATTTTAAAACATGATAGTTCAGGCCTGTTTGGTTACCGAGAAATATCAAAGAATTAAAGAGAAAATTGAAGTTAAAATTTTATAACCCTTTAAATAAATCTAATCGATAAAATTCGTCAAATTTAGCATTTACCGATACTTCGAATCCCATCAAAAATCCATCCCACCGGCTATTTATACAAACCCCGACTATGTCCTCAAAAGCATCGATCAGCTGTGAGCCAAAGAAAGAAAAAAAGATCAAACCTTTAGAACATTACACTAATGGAAGATGCTAAATACTATCCCACGTCGCCACAGATCAACAACATGAAATTATTAGCTGATTCACAAAACCACTTCTTCTCCTTTAATGTGAAACTCATACATGCATTTATAACATATTATTATATAAAAGGCAGATGACAAGCTATATACCTATCATTTTGGAATCTCAATGGACATATATAGGAATAAAACTGAGAACCCAAACCCTTTTGCATCGAATCTGGGTCGATCTTGCTTCAAATAATCATATGCTTTTAATGCAAACATTGCTTTATATGCATGTTTGAAGTGAGTAAAAGCAGGTGTTAATTGTAGAGATATTCCATGAAATTAATGATCCGACAGTTTTTTTTCCTCGTTACCATGGCTTTATCTTATTAGTACATACCAATCTAGGTCATACACTTAATCTTAATGAGTGGGTCTCTTAAAGAAATTTTTTTATATACATATAAACTCGAACTTAAAATTTGTTTAAGCGATATCAAAATACTTACCACTTAAATTAACTAGGGGTGTTTGCTTAATGAGTTGAGCAGTTCAAACTTGACTCAGTCAAAACTCGACTCAGATTTACTCGACTCGAGACCTTAACGAGTTAAGTCGAACAAAAGTCAAACTAAACTTGATAAGTTCGCAAACAACTCATTAATTTTTTTTAATTAATTTTTAGTGATTATCTTAAAAAGATATTTCATTCAAAAATTACTAATTTATCAATAAATAATAAAAAATGATAAATTATTAATCTACTAAATTTCTAATAGATAATTAAATATATTAAATTATTAATTAATTATTATTATTTTAATAAAAAAAATAAACTCTAATTATTGTTTTAATGTATTTATTGATTGTTATTTTGATGTTTGGAATTTGAATTTATTTCATACTCTTTTGATAATTTTTGTTAACTTTACTAATTTATGTTTATAATAAATTCTATATAATATTAGTAGGTTTTAATTATAGTTAAAAACATAAAATAAAAATTTTGGTGAGTTTAACAAGCAACGAGCTTTATGTGCTTAACGAGTAACGATTCGACCAACAAATTTTCTTAACGAACACAAGTCGAGCAAAATTTTAACGATTTTAACGAGCAACAAGTCGAGTTAAACAACAAAATTTTTAACAAATACGAATCGAACACTATCCAACTCTCGATCGACTACCTCGATAAATACCCCTAGAACCAAGCCGTGGGTACTATACCGACTAGGGGTGAGCAACACAGGGTACCCGCTTATTTTTTGGGAACCGGAACCTGTTGCACCGATTCCTAAAAAATGGGAACCGGAACCTGTTCAACCGGTTCCTAAAAATTGAGATCCTGAACCGGAACTTGTAGGTACCGGTACCGGGTACCCTGTTATTTTGACAGTTTTCTCATTCAACCTGTTAATTGTTACATATTAAGTGGGATGATATGACGCCTCCATGTTAAAATTAACCATTTTATAACCTGTTAATTCATTAAATTAAAATGCTACTATTTATCACAAGTAGGACTCTTTTTTATACAAAATTTATCCACCATTTCATACTTAAATAGTAATAAAAACACTAACCCAAAGTACATGTTAAGAGATTATGATTCTGATTTCAGGGTACTCGATATTAGAACCGCTTTTAGTCGGGTACCCAACCGGTTCCGATTCCGATTCCAAAATTTTGGGAACCTTAACCGATGTCAACATAGTCCTTATTTTGCTACCCGAAATTGGAACCGCTGGGATCGATTCCGATTCTGAAACAGTGATCCCCGTTCTTTTATTCACCCCTAATACCGACAACTAGGGATCACATATTCCCATCCGCTCTTCCATTAATTCTAAACGATGATAATATAAATAAATGATATTGTACAAAAAATCATGAATGATTATGAGAAAATTTAAGGTTGTAATAGTTTTTTTTTTTTTTAATTTTGAATGATGATAATATAATTTTATGTTATTCAAATCTTTATCAAATAAGATTAGTTTTTAACATTGAGAAACTCCTTTAAAAGTTAAAATATATATTAAAAACTATAAAGAAAAATTGGCAAAATCTTACAATTTTGGTCTAATTATGTCCCTAGTCTAGTATCTTTTAATTTTTTAAAATTTAATCTATATATTTTGATTTTTAATTTTTTTCACTACTTGTAAAATTAAATCTTATTGCTTTTAAATTTTGGATTAAATACTTATAGGGAGAACGTTATTTTCTTTTATCATTGAGATCACTCAATGGATTAAGATGAAATACTTATTAAGTTGAAGTTAAACGATTTAACACATCTCATTGTCTAATTTTAATTCACCCCTAATAACAATATTATCAAGGATAAATTATGTTAGATACCTATGAACTTTGCTTGTTGACTCTTTTATACCACTAAACTTTCAATTTTGACAATTATAGCATTGAACTTTAGTTTTACATTCAATTATATTACTATGTCGTTAAGTCAATAACGGGGTGATGACATGGCTGACGGTTACTGACGTAGCATGCCACGGTAAAATGACATCATTTTGGTTTTTTGTTCTGATGCTTAAAACGACGTCATATTAGACTATAAACTTTGGGTGTATCAATTTGACCATTGAACTTTGAAATAATTTTATTTTTTGTCACTACACTTTTCAGCCGCTGCCGAAAGCCAAGCATTATCATTCATCGATCATATGTTGCGATAAGATCGATACCAAAATGTTCATTTTTTACTCATCTTTCTTCTCGTAGGATTGATTTTCCATGAAACCCATTCAAAATCGACAAAAAAATCAATTAAAAGTTCAACGTATTAATACTCTGATCTCTTTCAATGACCGATCGATGAGGCTAGTTTTGAGGTATATTGTTCATCTTCTCAAAATAATATTTTTCATTGTTCATTTTTTTAACAAACACCCAAAATCTCATAAAGTCTCCAAACATCTAAAAAATTATAGATTTTTTGTGTTTAGTTTTGTCGACTTTGAATGAGTTTCATGAAAAACTAATCATATGAGAAAGATGAGGAGTCAAATGCGAACATTTTTGTATCCATTTTGTTGCGAAAGATTATCAGTGACGGGCGACGATTAGTTATTTCCAACGGCCAAAAATGCAATGTAAAAAAGAAAAACGTTTAAAAGTTCAGTGGCATAATCGATACACTCATAAAGTTTAATGTCTAAAACGTTATCGTTTTAGGCATCAGAACAAACTTGTGGCACATCACATCAGCAACCGTTAGCCATCCCATCATCCCGTCAGTGACTTAAAAACAAACAAATAAAAAGATAAATTTCTTAGGACTAAAACAAGAACACATTTTAAGGTTCGACAAGTAGAAAGATTGATGCTAAAATTGATCCTATAATTTTAAAATAATAAATAAATAATTTATTTAATTTATTTGTTTTTAAAAATCAATTTAAAATTTATCTGATAAATAATTAATAGTTATCTATTAATAACTTATTTGCATTTCGCATCTGGAAAAAACAAAACTCTAATAAATATTACATATTTCTCTGGGTATCGTAGTTGACATTGAGGCTTTGACTATGATGATTAGGTCGGCTTTAGTGGTGGTTCTAATGGTTTGGGCATTGCCCCTTCTATCACATTCATTGCGATTCGACATGCAATCAGGAGAGACTAAATGCATCTCCGAAGATATCAAAAGAAATTCAATGACGATGGGAACGTACCGTGTTGTCAACCCCAACGACGATCGGCCCTTGGGTTATTATCACCTTCTTAGCGTCAAGGTGAGATGGACGCATGGGCTTATTATTCAGTCGGCGGAGAAGGTGGGGGGAGGGGAATTTGTGTTTACGACGGCGGAGCAGGGAGATTACATGACTTGCTTTACGGCTCCGGGTCATTCGCCGTCGACGACGTTGACCGTTGATTTTGAGTGGAGGACAAGTGTTCAGTTTAAGGAATGGGTTAATATCGCCAAGAAAGGCCAAGTGGATGTAAGTCTTCGTTACCTCAATTTATTTATTTCTCGCTGGAATTTAAATAGTCGTCCGTTATTAGAGTAATATCTGTTGTATAATAAAAGTACGTCTCCTATAGTTGTGACGTTCACAATGACTGCAATAGCACTCGTTGTTGTTGCGGTTGCGAAAAACACAACGCGGTCCAAAACGCAGCCGTGATCTCGATTTAAATCTTTACTTGCTTTGTAAATACCAGGACATGGAACTGGAGCTGAGAAAGTTGCATCAAACTGTTAATTCCATTCATGAGGAACTGTTTTATTTCCGGGAAATGTAGGCTAATATCTTTCTCGCTTAAACAGTTAAAACTAACAGAAAATATGGCTAACTCGGATTCATGAGTTGCTGATTGTTTTTGTTGTCTCTGCAGAGAAGAAGAAATGGAGGAGCTGACCCAAGAGACTACCACCAAAATGATCTGGTTGTCCTTCCTCTCTCTCTTTCTTGGCTTGTCAGTTGCAGGAATACAGTTCTGGTACTTGAAAACCTTCTTCCAGAGAAGGAAGCTCATTTAAGTACATCTTACTTTGACAAAGTAATTTCTAGCTCTCAGAGTTATATCTGTTGATCTCTTGTATATCCGGAAATATTTCTCGTTTTTGCGAGGGAGATTTGATCGAATAAAAATAAAAATAAATCATTTCTTTCATCATCCGTTATAAAACCGTTTTACTTTTTCAACAGAAAAATTCTTCTTCCTTCCCCACACTTTTCTTTATTTAAGAGATCATTTAAGATCTTGTTTATCGATTCATTCATTTATGTTTATGAATATACTCGTTTATCCGATTCTCCTTTTCGTTTTATTTATTTACATTTTAAATATTGGTGAATATATTGACTAAATTGAAAATATGGTAAAATTTGAATTTTGAACTATGAATTTTAAGGAGTTTAAGCACTAGTGACGTAATTTTATCATTTTTATTTAACTTGCAAACGAAAGGGCAAAACCAAAATTTAAACATATAAACGAACGATAAACAAACACTAAATGAACATTAAACGAACACATTCATGAATACTTAATGAACATATAAATGAATATATTCACGAACATTAAAACGAATATGTTCGCGAACAATAAATAAACGAATATGAACACATTCAAAAAAAAATAAACACGAATACAATATTAAAAACTTAAACGAACACGAACCAAACATGAACATCTTCAAAAAATAAGCAAACGAACACAAACATAACATTATTTGTTCAATCTTAGTTTATTTAAACCCCGGTCCTTTTATGTTACACGGAGAGAATGTTTTTTAGGTACTAAATGAAAATAAATTCTTAAATTTAAGGACTAAAATCTAATTTTTTTCACTATTCTCTTAATTGCAATAGAGCCGGAGGTGCATATTATATTTCTAATATTTTTATTGCGATGGCCATATAATTTTTGGGTAAACTATATGAATAACCACCCCGCTATGGAGTTGGTGCCAATATGACGATCATTTTCAAAATTGAGTTAATATGACCACCTAACTATTCAATTGGTTCCAATATAATCCCATGCCATTAACATGTAATGGGAATGCTTACGTAACAAAATTGATATAATTACATATTTGATCATCAATACTTGTACGTTCAATTAATTTGATCCTAATTTTAATTTTATTTAATAAATTAATTATCAAATCAATAGATGACACGTGTCAACGTATGACGAGTAGATACCTATACTGTTATAGCACTTTTGTTACAAAATGGAAGTACTTTAGGTGAACCTTTATATGCTAGCTGGTTTAGGCTTAGATCAGTATCCAATTCACCAATCATTGGTTATTTGACCAAAGTTTATCATATTTGATCTCTATTGTTGTTGTTTTTGTGTAGATGTGCCTTAATGTATTTGACAAAGCCGCTGACCTTGATGTTTTGGACCATCCCGTTCTAAACCTCATATATTACCAATTAAATTTATCAACAACAAGTTGATCTAGTGGAATGAGACACTAGGTCCCTTAAGCAAGATCAAGGGTTCGAATCCTAACGTTTGCTAATGGGTGGGAGGGTCGCCCTTGCCTATACAGTACCCAATATAGATTAATCAGTCAATAGATTAGATATCAGTGATTAATTCAAAAAAAAAATTGACAAATAGTTAAGTGACCATATTGACTCAATTTTGAAAATGATATCATATCGACACCAACCCCATAGTTGTATGGTCTTCGTATAGTTTACACTTTTTTTTTATATGTTTAGTTGTTTATATTTATCTTATATGATCTTTACATTGTAATTTTAATATCCTATTTGTTCAAGATTTTTCTTATACCATTGACAATGCACAGACATCGCTACTTGATTCTGAATCTCTAGAGAGAACAATATTTCTTTTTACCACTGAAATATGAAGTCTAAAGTTAAGTGGAGCAATCAACAATGGATTTATTCAATGACAAACGGATCAGTAAGTATGATTGGATTCATATGATTCTTCTTCAACAAAAAGAATTTAAAGGACAGTAATTTAATGCTTTCCAACATACTTTTCCACACCAATTCATTCTCAAGATCAACGGCCAATACTCCAAGCTCTATTTTTAACTTTTGTATAGAGCACTTGAAAAGTACAAAAGAAAGCACCAGGATTGAAAAAAGGAACATGAAATGGTCCAACAACTTGAACCAATTTAATCAGAAATTCTACCTTACATGATTGATGAATATTTATATGCATTTATATAAAACCAAATTGTTTTATGTCTAGCCTTAGAGTACAAGAAATTATGCACCTTTTGAAGGATCAAGAGCAGCAATCCTTCCTGCTTGTTGGACTTCCGCGGAAACAACAACGATTGCTCTTCATTGGTAATCCAAGAATGGAACTGTATCTGAATCTACTCATTGAACACCCAGCAATTCATCAGACCATTGACTGGCGTTCACCAGTTGAGGTTTCCGCGGCGATCGATCTGCAATTGAAATAGAAAACCGTACTCATCATGGAATCAATGAGCATCACGAACGAATACATTACCACCAACAAAGGCCCCTCCCAGATCCTAGAAGACCCATCTCCATAACTCAATGTCTTTACCCTATGATCAAACAACCCAGTCACAAATGCCAAGCCAATTGTAGATCCAAGAAATATCGACATACCAACCCGAGCCTGCCCCTTGACTAGAACAAAGGCCCGAACCAATGCCTGTATTCCCGAAACTTCCTCTAACACACAGACTACAATCCCAACATTGCAGACAACGACAGCAATTGCGAAAACGATGGAGAATACCAGCCCCATCATTACCATCGCAAAGACAATTATATCAGGCGAAAACCCAATAGCAGAAAGCACATTACACGCCGCAACAAGAAAAACGAAGAAAGTTGTTACACAACCAACAATTACCACACACATCCACAAATAGGTAGAAACAAGGCGCCTCCAAAGCTTCCTAATTATCATGAAAAACTTCGAAACGACAGGCGATTCCTTCAAATAAGTACAATCCACACAATAAACCACTGCAGCCTTCGACAACAAGGCAAATGGAAGCAACAAAGGGAAGCAAATTACTGAGGAAACAGCGGTCTCAGCAAAATGTTGACACGACTGTTTGATAAAAGGTCTCAATGGAACTCCACTGGTTTCAGCAGCTAACATAAGCCTAACTGTTAGACTTTTCACAACGGATTGACCAACTATCAAACTAGAAGACATAAGCACTGCAGATAAAGGACAAATTAACAAAGCTAAAACGATCATAAAACCAGAACAGTTGTACCGTAAGATCCTAACGGCTTCTCTTAAGATCTCCAAAGCATTCATGGAATGGGATCGGTCGTTAGGATCAGTAGCATCATGTGATGATTCTAGCTCAAAATTTTCACCATGGGTTTCCTTTAATCCTTCCTTTTCTAAATGATCAGATCTCATTCGTGGAGAAGTAACGCTAGAGATCTCCATTCTAGCCAATACCCAGAAACTATCAATCCATCCGGGAAGCTAAACAAAAATAGGAAATGATTGAAAACAAAAGGTGTAAATCAGACCTGTTAGAGCTAAGACCCACCTCTGTAACTTCGGATAAAGTTCCAGAAAACCACAGTGATCACACTCAAAAAGCGAAGGGGTTATTATATGGCTAAGGAGTAACGAAATTGGGTGCCATTTTCACATTGACGCCGACGATCGTCGGTGTAAAGCAGCTTATAATGGGCGTTTCTTATTTTTCTAGATTAAGAGAGATTAGTCGACAGGATTTGGAAGGTTACAGCAGGCCTCCAGCCATGGAGGGGCCTCATCTTTTGCAAGCGGCAAGAGGCCCAAGACTGGCATTATATTAGTATTTTTATTTAGAGTAAATTACACATTTAGTACCTAAACGATCACATTTAGTCTGTTTTAGTACCTAAATTTGTATGTTTTTCAAAATCATACCTATACTTTTACTTTTGTTTCATTTTAGTATCCCGACATTAAAAACTTTACTTTTTGTTTCATTTTAGCATCCCGTTCAAAATTTAACGCAATGTTTTGAAAAGAACAAAAGTTAAAATACTAAAACGGACTAAAACTGATAGTTTATGTACTAAACGTGTTAAGTTTTAAATGATGGATACTAAAATGAAATAAAAACTAAATATTAAGTATGATTTTGAAAATTTTGAAAGTTTAGATAGTAAAACAGATAAAAAATAATATTTTAGGTACTAAATGATTAATTTGTCCTTTATTTTATTTATAAAAGGCAATAATCTTGTACTAGAGTGTTTCCCATTCCGACCCTCGGCTAAATTAGCCGTGCAGCCCTAAAAAATTAAATATTAAAATAACATTTATTTTCAATTAATTATCGAAAGAATATATCTTAAATTATTTTTTAAAATAAAAGAATATAGTAATTTAATAAAAATAGTCTCATGAAGTTCAATGTTCGAAATAAAATCCATACATTCAAATTTATAATACATTGATGAATTAAAATTTAAATATCATGATATCAATATGTGACTAATCAAAGGGATAGTTGGATACTAAATGTATAAATTAACTTAAATTAAAATTAATTAAAATATATAATATATGATCACTTTTGTTTTTATTTAATTAAAATGTATTCGTCACGAGTTAAAAAAAATTAGCTTACCCTTATTCCCATATGTAATGGGGTAAGGGGAGATAGGATAGTAGGTTGCCCCCAACGTCAGGTTGAGAGCAGCTTCCGTAAGATACCTCCGAATTATGAAATGCCCTCCGTGAGACTCGATCCCACAACCCCAAGGTTAAGAACCTTGTGCTCTACCAACTGAGGTAGGATAGTAGTCGCCACGAGTTAAACGTCGTTAAATATTTGGTATAATCACATATTTGGTCTATGTTACTTATATATTCTTTCAATTCAGTCATATTTTTAATAAATTAAAATAAATTTAATACTCCAATCGAATGATTCCTTGTGCCACCGGTACCATGTATCACCATTCAGTTGGATGACTAACTTTGTTTTAATTTAATATTATTTTAAATAAATAAATAATATAATTTTAAAAAATAACTAAATATTTTAAAATATTTTCATAATATTGGTAAATAAAATTTTTAGGATAGCTTAATATAAATTTTATAAATACATAAAAGTAATTATTTGGATTTTTCATAATATTTTATAAATTAGTTGTCTAACATTTTTAGGTCGCCCGTTAGAGAACAATTATCCTCCATTGATGTGCTTTTTAAGCTTTGTTTATTTCCTTACCTCATCCTATCGATTAACGTTAGGGTGTTCAAACGGTTAATTTGATCATTGTCAGATTTGAATTATCATTAACTGAATTTTTTTTTCTTTAACCATTAATCAAATTAAACTTTTTTTTGAAAATATTAATTGAACCGAACAAAGTTCAATTATTTATGTCGATTAACTAAATTAGTCGATTTTTTTATAATTTTTTAATTAGATAAATTTGATTATAATAGAAATATTTTTTTGGGTTAAAATTTAATTAGGTATAAATAACTTAACGAATTTAGTGCGTTTAAAAAAGAGTTAATTATCTCATTCATACATAAATTATATCCGATTCTCAGTTTTATACATAAAGTTTAAAAAATCTCGATTAACTACATAATATTTTCTGCCGTTAACAGGTTCACCCATTTCCGTCACGGGAAGTTATGTGGAACCCTATAACCATAACATGTGGCACATTAAAAAAGCATGTTTTTTAATTTTTTAGGTAAATTATACTATTCATCACTCATATCTTCTCACTCTTATTTTAGTCACTAAAATTTAAATTTTTTAATTTAATTATTAAACTATAGAATTGCTCTTATTTTAATAACTCAAATTTATTTTATTAATATTTTATTAATAACTAAAATTTATTTTGTTAATATTTTATTAATAACTCATATTTATTTTATTAATATTTTAATAACTCAAAGTTTAAATTACTTTTTATTTCAATGTATTTGCTTTAATATGTAACTAGTGTTTGAAAATTTTTCCCAAATGGGTTGCAGACTCTTCTTCTTTGCAAAACTCCCCTTAAACCCTAACCCTAAATTCCCAAATCCATGTTCCTTCTCCACCTCTTACATAACTCAAGATTACGTATATCACCCTACATGGCAATTGGCATCCCCTTACAGGTAAAAGAAAATCAATTCTTCCACACTCTTGATCACCATTGATTCATCAATTGTGGTCTCAACATCATCCCCGATTGCTTACCTTACTAGAATCGAACATTCAAATTTTCACTCAAAAAACCCACAATTCAACACCTTTTCCCACAAAAATTTCGATAAATTTTACAGTATTGATTAAATTCGTTTATATATAATGATGATTTTGATAAAATACTTTTATTTTTTTTAAATAGAGTAAAATTATCTGAATTTTTTGAGAAAATATTGTTGAATTAAACTAATCAGGAGCCATTTTTTAGTGGATTGATCACACTTGTTCATCTCATTTTTTACCATCATTATGTCTTCGAAAATAAACCAGAATTTTGAGTTTTGTATTCTATATATTTTACATGATTCACATGTAGATTAGTGTATAAAATATAAATTCGAGGTCCGACACTTGTATTTATTTGTATTTTTATCGAAGTTGTGATTAATTTAGTGATCATAAACTATCTGTCGAGTTAATCGATCGATGAATCGGCCAAGAGTGGGTGAATTAGTAATAAAAATTTCGGTGGAAACTTTTGCATAAAATTGAAAATATTTGCACAGTGATTTAGAGTGGTTGGACTTTATCAACCAAAGTCTACGTCCACTACCTTAGCTATCCACACTAAGGATTTTTCACAAATTCACTAATTTGTCTTTCTTTTGAGAACAAAGAGTAACATTACAACTCCCTCAAAAATTATACCCCAAATTCTTGAGAACACTCTCTTCGAAAGAGAAGAATACAAATTTCGCAAACTTACAGAAAAACCTCTCAAGGCAAGATGTTTGCACAATTTTAGAATAAAGAAAAAACACTCAATAATGAATACAATTGAGTACAAATGATATTCTTGAAAGCAAAATGAATATTGAATGGAAATAGGCTTGAAAATGCTCAAACGATAAGTTCAAGGTTTTCTCTTTGATTTCTTGTTTCTTGTTATTGATCAATGGCTCCTCAGCTTGTTTAAATACACATTGGATCACTTCTGAACGTTGGGGATCATTGGTGAAGTCAATAGAGCTGTTATGGTGTAATTATCATTTAAAAAATCTGTTGGGAGCGTAGGTGTATCGGTACTATTGAACTATGTTTTGATATAACAATTTAAGGCAAAATGGTTTTTGGACTTGAATTGAATTTACAAAATGTTTTTGGACTTAATTGAATTTATTCAAAGTTTTAAAATGTTTCAAAAATAATTCAAAGTCCATTAAATTCGGATTTGAGCCAAAAATGCTAAAGGGTGTCAAAGTGCATCCATGCACCCCTGCAGTGCATCCATGCACCCCTGCAGTACATCCATGCATCCCTGCAGTGCATCCATGCACCTGCACTAGTGCATCGATGCACCATGCAGTGCATCCATACACTCAAACATCGAATGCAATCAGTGCATCGATGCATCGTTCTGTGCATCGATGCATCAAGGTTATGCATCGATGCATCCTGTTGTGCATCCATGTACGAAGGCTGCAACGACTAGTTTATTTGAATTTAATGAAGGAGTATCGATGTACCATTATAGTACACCGATGCACCATGTTATGGGCAACCTTTTTGAGTAGAAAAATCATCCTCAAACAGCTCTAAAACATCCCCAACGGCTATATACAACATCAAACACATTCCAAGATATAAATACAAGCTAAGTACACTTGAAGAAGTGAGAGAACAACTATCCAAGCAATCAAACACAAGAGAAGAGTTTTTCATTCTTATTTTATCTTTCTCTTGTAAATATTTTGTTCTTGTGAGCTCAATCTTGTAAACACATACCTTAGATAGATTTTCTTGTTTACTTATTTTATCCTTTTGTAAAGGGGAAAGGTTCTAGCTTATCCCGTGTAAAAGCTAGGGAAAAGTTCTAGTTTAGCCCGTAAAAACTAGTGAGTTGTAAGGTTATCTCTTTGTCCTCAAAAGAAAGAACAAATTAGTGAATTTGTTGGAAAATCCTTGGTGAGGAGCTAAGGTAGTGGACGTAGACTTTGGTTTAGAAAGTCGAACCACTCTAAATCGCTGTGCAATTTTCTATCTTTCAATATCCTTACTCCCTAAACTCAAAAACCGTTCCGACCCCTCTTTACAAACCGTTCCGGTTGTCAAATCGAACTTCCGAAAATCCCAACAATTGGCATCAGAGCCTAACTCGTTAATAAGGTTTAACCACCTTGAGACGATCCTCGAAGAAGCTCTACCAATTTCCGACGCAACCGGTGCTTATTATCTTGAAGAATATTCTATTATGGATTCACAACCGGTCAACAAGCCACCCTTCTTAAATGGAGAAAATTATGCACATTGGAAGAATAAGATGATGTATTTTATTCAATCCTAAAATCTATGATCTTGGAACTCAATCATGGACGGTTACTTCTCTCCACCCGGCAAGTACAACGATTGGAGTAGAGAAGAGCATAAAAATTTCCAGCTTAACTCTAAGGCTATACATATTCTATTATGTTCTTTAGGCCCAAATGAATATGGAAGAATCTCATCTTGTTCCAGTGCCAAAGAGATTTGGGATAAGCTCTAAGTCACTCATGAAGGAACCGACGAAGTGAGGGAATCAAAGAAAAGTCTTCTCAACCATAGCTACG